AATTTCAAAAAATCCACTTCACATTCTCATACACATCTACGTCTTTTTTTTATACTTTTCGCTATACATTGACAAAATAAATTTTATCATCGTCCGAGCGAGCTAACATTATCTAGTTAAAACCATAAATCGATCGAAATTTCACTAAAAAATCCAACTGGTTTTTCCTAGACTCTCGAGTCTTCGTAAGAAAATGACGACACATTGGATTACCTATTATTGTCTAGAGTGACGGAAATATCTTACAAGTACGGTCATATCCTTAAGCTGTCAATATTTGTCTTACTAAATGTTGCATCCTGCACGAGAAAATAAGATTCCTAAACGGTAATACATAGTAGCAGCTATATATTGTACATGAATTTGCGACTTTGGTTTCTTTTCTCCACGATTAATTGCGTAACCGTATTATGGTTCGCGACCTTGACCCGACAAAAATTCTTCTCACGCAGAATGCCTTTAATGCACTAGTGCGACAAGACTTTCATGATCGATTTCGCACTCAAGATTTGACCATCTTTATTAAGATAGATATACTGTTTGATCGAGGAAGAAGCAAAGTAGATCCTCGATGATCATTTTTAATAAACTGCGATCGTCAGATATTATGCTTAACGAAAAACTAACCCACATTGTGCTCTTAGTTCACCACAGCTTCGCAATAAAGCAAATCCTTATTATTGTCATTATTATTTATTGAAGAAACGATGTAAGTCACAATGTTTACTAATATATCCGTAATGCCTAATTTAAACTGCATATGGTGAAAATACTGAAAACGTTATTTTAATCCGAAGATAGGCGAAGCAGTATTGTATTTTTCTGTGAAATTTATGAGAAATCGCGACACAGATATGGTTGAAATATAAAAAAAAAAAATAACGATATTTCGTAGCATAAAACGTATGCGCAATGTAGATAAATTTATTTCATCTTGCAGAAATGAAAACCATAAATTAAGTCATTATTTAGAATAATTTAGTTTTATTTTAAATAAGTCTGTTAACTCTTAAATAGCTTCTGACCTTGATTTTATGACTACATTATAGAAGTCGAACGTGATTTTTCTCTCAAACACCAACTACGACATTTCAATTTAATAGAAATTTTAGCCAATTTAACATTGAAAACGTATAATATAAATAAATATAAAGCTTAAAATTCATTTTGATTATTATTAAATTAACGATTTATGGTAAAAATTAAAAAAATTATGGAACAAGCGATAAAACGTAATGACTATACAAATTTTAGTATGATAAAATTGTAATTACATGATAATCGTACAGCATAATATTTAAAATAAGAAATAATAAGAATAGGAAGCATAATATCCGAAAAGCAATGGAACAATTGAAATCCAATATGGCTATTTGCCCTTTTTCGAATTATTTTAAAACACAATGACAAAATCACGAAGCTTTTAATCTAATGAATATTGACATTATTTAAAATTCTTTATTATTCTGCAATGTTTTACAGTAAGAAACATAAATGCTGATATATTATATTTAATTACTTTTCATAGTTAGTACATAAATAAAAAGCTTATAGCTCGTCTAAAAATGTATGATTCGCTTGAATCAAATTTGCTTAAATATCGCAAATAATGTTTTTCATAATATTATTATAATATTTTAGATAGAATATTAATCATAGAAAAATAAGATTTCTTTAATTATATTGCTAAAGACAATTTTATGTGATTCTTTTGTTACATTTTACAAATATTATTTTGAAGAGTAATAATGTTTATTAGCACAGAAATTAAAATATAAATATTTTAAATGATGAATATGGATTTGTAATTTAGTTCGTAATTATTAAAATACTAGCTTTATAAACAATAAATAAATATTTGCCTGCTTCCAAATAAATGAACCAATTATTATTGAACTTCTAAAACTGGTAGTGGTAAAATACAATACGGAAGTGCATTTACTAAATCTCAAACTAAACAATAAAGTTTTATCGTTAGTTATAAAAAGTCACTTTATTTCATTTTTATCAAGTTAATTATCATTATCACTATATTTTAAGTTTTATTATATTATTAAAATTATGAAAAAATGTCCATTTGTTTATTTGATCAATTTGCTCTCATTATGTTTGAAATTTAAATAAACTTATAATAAACTCACATGAAAATGTATTTAAACTGTTATATATATGTGGGATAAAAATTTATATAATTTTGAAATAATAAATAAAATTAATAAACGAAAAATATCGAATAAAAATGACATAAATAAAAACACATATTCCTATTAAACAAATTGATGTTTCAGTATAGTTTTATACAATTCTTTAATATTTACGTTGATATAGAAAGTATAAAATTTCTCCATACTTTAAAGATATTGTTTTTAAAAATGAAAAATTATAATAATTAGACATTACTGAGCTTCGCGTATTATAGTAAACCTTTATAATAATAAAAGTTCTGCTATTAAAATACTTCACATAGCTATACATGTAGGCTAACAAACATTAGTTAGTCCCTTTATAAATTTACATAAAGAAACATAATTCGATTATAAAATGAGATAGAGCTTCAAACACAATAAAATTCATATTATTTGCAAATGTATCATACTAACGACGGCAATACCTTAAACGAGAGTGTTTCATTAACAAAACAATATCTGCTATTATTACAAAATCTGGCGTTAGCTTGTGAAACATTGAATGCAGATTCGTCAAATTCCACTTAATATTTTACATTCATTAGATATCCCACTCTCCTTCTTTGTCTCTTTATTATTACGAAAGCAATTTATGAACAATTAGAAACATCTGTCTATGTCGTGCAATTGTGCGTATTCGAATAATAATTATTCCTTTGTTTTTTTTTTCAGGCCCAGTCAGACGATGACGATGTGGCGGACGAGGTGTCCGTCACCATGGGCGGGACGGACGATTTTATGACAGAATTTTTTGCAGAGGTATGTAAATGTATTGTGTGTGTGTGTGTGTGTGTGTGTGCGTGCGTGTGTGTGCGTGTGCGTGCGTGTGTGTGTGTGTGTTTCAGATTCGATGAAACTCAAAGCTGAGAAGGCTTAGTCGATAAAACGTCGCGAAAGCTTCCGAGCGTGCGCTTGTTTACTTATATTCGCGCTTTGCGTTCAAAGTAATAATTATTGGATTGTTTGTCCAACTTATTATTATAAAATACATTTTAATATTAATATTGTATGGGCAGCTTCGATTTGTTAAATTATATGATAATCGCGTATACAGTGATAATGCAGTCAACGGAAGTTAAAAAGGTATGTGGTAGCTAAATTTTTATCATTAAAATTGTAATTATGGCGTTGGCTGGTAATTTAATATAAACACATTTACATTAAGCCTTTATATGTTAAAACATTATCGAATTATATTTGCGCTTTTTTTTTATCGTATGTTTTGGTTTTTATCGTATGTTCAGTCAATATTAATAATTCGTATTATCAAAAAAAAAGTGCATTATCATATAATAATAAATATTTCAACTAAGTTAGCATTATATTTATCGATTCATCGGAATTGCATTTTAATAAATTTTATTGAACATCTACATTTCATCATCAAATTGGTTTACTTCTGTAAGATCTATTGTTTTTAAAAAAAAAACTGAATAATTTTTTAAACATTTTTTGTCAATATGCTTATGAATGGAAACTTTTTAAAATAAAATTTATATCATAAATAAGTTGTTTAAATTAACTAAAAACTACATAATTGATTCGAATTTAATATGCATATCGTAAATCAACATAACCATGTCAAAGTCTTAAAATTACGCATATTATATTAAAACGAAAAACTTACTTAAACTCTCGTAATGTCTACATAAAAGAAAAAATTCTCTTTTAACATTTCATGAAAATGTTATTTCTCCCGTGAAGATAAGAAGATACTCTTTTCCCAGGTACATTTTCTCTTATTCACGTTTACAAACAAAAAGATTCTTATGTTTTTCAAAAGAGAAAACGGTTCTCGTTTAACAATAATTATGAGAAGAAAAAAAAACAACAATCTAATTTTTATTCTTTTATATGAATATCTAGATAAATTAATGTAAAACATCTTTAATTTTCTAATTTTAACTATACTTCCCATGATATACTTAAAAATCTTTCAACTTTAGTACTTATACTAAAATATTTAATTTAAAGATTAATTGAAATATTACCTATACCTTGCTTGTCAATTAAGAGAAATACAAATCATCTGATTAACTCGATCCTTTGTATGTTAATGAATAATTAATTTCAGTCTTATTATATTTGAAATACGTTTAGACATCAAATGATCGTTTATTTTACATATATTACCTATTGAATTCAATACATTAACAAATTGTGTTACAATAAACGTCAATACTTACTTTAATACATCTTTCAAAGTATTGCCGAGTATATAATAAGTTTTTAACAAAATTTATAAAAATATTTCATAAGTTACATATACATCTTTATATTTAATTATTGTGTAAATTTTAGACTTCGGATATGAAAATTAATTATGTTTGGGATGATGCTGATTCCGATTCTTTCAATTTCTGATCAATGCGATTCATAATTTAGTATATTTAAATATAGTTTTAAAAATAATAGTTTTTAAAAGATTTATAAATTGTTAAAACTTTTCTTTATACAAATCTCTACACGACTAGTCTGATATATTACTGGATTATTATCAGATTTAAAGAGGAAGGAATCGAATTAACATGGGTTTTTCAACGAATATGATTTTCTTATTTAATTAGTCGGTGAAACCTTTATTATTTTACATATGCATAGATTGACGTGAATATATTAATAAATTAGCGTCCTAATGAAATACCATTTATTCAAACACGATTATAATCGCTTAATTATTATTATTATTATTTTTTTTTTTTTTTTAATGTTAATCGCGTGCTTAAAAATTTACTTATATTCCTCTAGAAATAATCATCATAATAATTGAAACACAAAATCCAAGTAAAATATAATCTATCGCGCAGCGACGACAATGTACCATCCATTCGCTTCCTTAAAAATGCTAATAAAAAAAGAATGATTTTTCAATTCATGGAAATATACATTTGCGAAACGCGCGAAATCATGAGGCTCAATATTTTTTAATGAAAAGTATTCATCCTGAGAGTATCGTATTATTAACGAAAAAATTTCGTAAATTAGGAATAAATGTGCGCGACTCGTCGAAAGCTCTTATTTTTCCGTCATCTCATCCGTTCTATCGGCACGAGTCTCTTACGCCAATGACGTAGATGAAAATGAAACTGGGTTTGATGCTCGAGCGTTAACAAAAGCCCAACATCGCATCGGGTTCATTTCGGCCGAGACCGACGATAATGGAAAGTGGGTTAAATCGTCCCCCTAGAAGTAAAGGAGATCGCGGCTCGTGAGCTTGTGTGTGTGTGTGTGTGCGCGCCTGCCTATTCAATCTGTACGCGGCAGATATTCCAAATAACTGTCGGTTAATATTTTTGATAAAGTTTCACGTGCGAAGGAAGAGTTGTATCGTATGGGAATTTTTCTCTTCTTTGTGCGAGCTTAATAAGAATATATGGCGAACGAACGTAGTTTCTCAGTTTTGCCATATCATATGGAAGAATTAGAATTTCGGGGGATTATTAAGAGAAGCGGTATAACTTTGTCCTTAAAAGCTATAAAAGATTTGTGTTTAAATTAAATTTATATTTTAGTGAAAATGAGAAATTGAACGAAGCGTAATGAGGAAATGATTACTTTTTTTTTTCAATAAAATTTCGAATTTCATATGTTTTACATCACATATTCTACTTAATAATTAAACACCAAATCGCTGTATAATCTATGTATGTGATTAAAAGGAAATTATTGCAAAGATCCTATTCTTTCATAATTTTCAAAAAAAAAAAAAAAAAAAAAAAAAAAAAAAAAAAAAAAAAAAAAAAACACGTAAACTGAAATAGCATATTTGAATTAATTTTATTCCTATCGAAAGTATATACCTACGATCATGTACTTTTGAGTTTCACATATATGTATAAAAAGATTAAATTAAATCTTAATTACGCTTAATTTAACATTATTAATACTGAAAAAGTAATTAGGGCAGTGTTTTATAATATGAGATCAATCCTCGAGTGAAAAATTCAAAGTTCTGCAATATATTCAATTATTATTTATTCATTTTCTTTATCTTTTTACTTGCCAGTGAGCACGCCCCCTCCCCCCTCTCCCTCTTTGTCTTGCACAGAAATATATGCATATTTACAGGGAGCTTTATGGAAAAAATCAGGCCAGTAAGAACTTGCGAGTCGGCGTAACGTGCACGAATATACCCTCTTTTATATGCAAGTTTCTCGCTTTGCATGTTCGCTCGCTGGATCGTCGGACAAAAGTTATAAAAATAAAAATAAAAAAATAATAGAAAGGAACAAATAAAAGAGAGAAAAAAAAATAATAATGAAAAAAAGAATGATAGAGTGGACGTCGATGACGAATCGATTTGCAACAGGCGAGCACATTCTTCATACGACATTATCGGGGCTGAAATGCCGAGCGAAGCGTACGCGAAATTTTCATTGACAAAATTGTTTGATGGATTTATTATCAGTCGCCATAAGCATGAAAAGCGAGCAAACAAGGGAATGGCCCTTATCTACGGTATTATGCTCCTACGAAATTTATTATGCTCATGCGCGCGGCATGTACATTTGACAGTGTGCAAATGTTTGGGCTTATTGAAATAGGCAATTTACACGCTAATCTATTCGACGTGATGGCTATTTTCTTACAATTACCGTGGCGATCCGAGCGACATTAATGACATAAATGGAAACTTAAGATAAATCAATTTCACATTGAGATGGTAATTTGGCCTTAGAGAGAGTAAGAGATTATAAGATATAATTATGCATCCGGCTCACTTATCGAAACTTATTCATCAAAAGCTTCTAGTGGCTAAGCCAACGGACGGAGTAGGTAGGAGGAGGTGACAAAAAACGAACAAAACAAAAAAAAAAAAAAAAACATAAAAAAAAATACGAGAATTCAAAGCCAATGGAGATTATCTTTAAATCGTATATTTGTTAATACTAAAATGAGGTGCAGATGCTGTGAAATGTTAGCAAACGCAGACGTACGCCAAATTATTAGTACCGTTGTAGAAATTCAACTAATAACAATTTACTGAATTGAAGAGTAGAATCACCGCTGCATATTGAGTTTATTATCGAATATTGAGTCGGGACTCTCGTCCGGACACACAATGTTAATAATTAAACTTATAGTTTATTATTAAACAAAATATCAACGACCCCAATTATGTGAACAGCATTGTAATCCTCATTACTTCGTGTTTAACTGGAAAAGCTCGCCAAGCTGAAAAATACACAAGCAACTCGAATAATCACCACACCCCCCTCCCTCCCTACTAATTAACAATGGAATTCAGAATTACCAAAAATTACTAACCAATAACTCGTGGTATTTTAAACACATTTGTTAGTGTACTTGTCAATGACTGCTAAACAAAATGGCAAAGTATTTTTAATTTCTTTCATTATTAATTTCCAGCCGTTAAAGAAATTTTTTAGTTTTTACAATACTCTATTTAGTATATACTACGTTTATAGATTTATACTCTAATTTATAAAATAATAATAAATACTCGGGCGTTTAGGCATTACACCCGAGTGTTTGATCACGATCGTACATCAAAGGACGTAAATTTTGTTTGCAAGATAAGCGAAATATTTTAATACATCGACTAATGTACATTGCTTTCCCGCTCTATTTTGCTCCTGTCGTACTTTCGCGCACTAAACTATGTGCACACGCGTACATTGTTAGCGCACTGTGTGACTTCAACCTTTCGCATTGTTCCGTACTTTGGTAATTGTGGGATGCGTCGAGATAATTGTATGCGTTTCTCAAATTGTGTCACCCAATGGCATTTCTGCCTC